AGCAACACATAAATCCTAAAACTAGAAAAGAAAATTGTTTGAAGTATTTCAGTGTCGAAATCGGAGTGAAAAAGTGTGCTACGATATCTCGCAGTTGGACTTGCAATAGAGAGTTCGACATTGAAATCTTCAAGTTGTTTTTTTCTAAGTACTATTGGTAGTGTCAATTCAATTTCAGACTTGTCAAAAAAGCACGGTTAGGATGAAACACAACTAGCATGAACAACAGATACAGAGTTGATCACTATCATCGGTGGTAACACTGAAACTGTTTGTAAATAAGAATATACCTAGTATTACGAATCATCTTTGAACATTCTTTTCGAATCTATTTTGAGTAGCACAAAAAAGCAAGTCTCATAACGATTTTGAATTATCTGGTCGTAATTGCTATTAAATATCATCTATTATACCATGGTCCAGCATTTGATACATAGGTTGAAAAGCTCGCTAAATTTAATCGGATCCCACAGTATTAATAGCTTAATCTGTTGATAATGTCTTTTTCGTTTATTTTTGATCATGAATATTAAACAAAAAGAAACTAACTGTTTTGATATTTATAGGTGGTGTGTACGCGATTGAATGCTGCAGATCTCCAATCAATTTATATGAAACTGCAATCACCTTCACTCGTGGTTGCTTTCAAAGATTTATCACATTTTCGAAGACAAATATTAGCACATAATGCTATTCGCCTTTTAAAGAATTCCACTGATGCCAATGGATTGTCAAAGGAAGAAATAGTTACAATAAAATTATATGTATCTTGTTTTTTTCTTTATATTCCTCTCAATGAAGCACTTCGTAGTGAACAATATGAACAAATTAAAACTTGGCTCCCATATTTAAAACTTTTTCATAATGCTATATATAAACTACCTGAACGTGCAGGAGTACATTGTCATGTAGTAAGTGATAATATCAAAATTGACCTGTATCGAGTCGATTCCTTCGTAATTTGGGTAAGTAATAAAACTGAAAGATTCTTTATTTCAATTAAAGTGATCTGAGTTTAAAAAAATCAAAGGAAATGTACTCTCACATATGACATAAAGCAAAATTTTTTTCAAGCACTCTTTATCAGAGAAATTCCTTAAAATTATTCCTTTTAATAAGTTCCTTGTTAATTAATCTTCTTCGATTTTCTTTTCTTTATAGTGGGACATTCCATCATTAATAACGAATTGAGAGGTATGTATGTCTCTTGCGAATAAAACAGCCGTCGAAGAACAACACGGAACTATTTTCTGGATTACAACAACATCAGCAAGAGATTTATCAATTTTATCTTTAAATTCCACTGAACAAGAATTGCTTTTGTTACCAGGAACTCGTTTCAAGGTTATGAAAAACAAGAAACATGCGCTCTTCAAGGAAATCAATGAAATTCATCTTATCGACACGGCATTCGATGTCAATAGTGAGTTGTTTTTTTTTCTCAAAATAATTATTCGTATCTTTAAAAATAAGTGAATAAACATCAGTGCTAGCCATTGAATATGAATACTGAACAAATACGTAACAAACACAGATAATGTCATTAGAATAGAAAACATGTCCGCTCGGCTTCATATTTTTCATCAACATACGCTTTGACTTTGAAAAGTAAAATCAAAATTACATTATTTAGACTTAACTTGTTTCATACAGATGCTTCTCAGGTCACATATTTAAGTTCTAAAAAGTGGTTAGGCTGATCTGAAAAACTTGAAGATTTCAAGTGTTAAAATGCTTTTGATATTCATATTTCTTTTCATGCGATTTACAAAAATCTAAGAGAAAAAAGTAAATGGAGATCTTTTTCAAGTTATTTCTGTCAATCAATTACCAATTATCAAGAAAAATGAGAATTGATAGACTAGATCGGATATGTCTGAAATTTCGACTGATGATTTTGACAGCCTTATGAGCAAAGTGAGGTGACAGCTCATGGCATTGTAAATATTACAGAAAAGATGAAGAAAGAGCTGAAATCAAGTGTTTTTTAAATCAACTTAAAAAAATAATTTAAAAGATATGTTTTTTTTATTGATTTTTTGATTTAGAATTGCCGTTTGTCTTCAGTCAACTATTTAATACAATCGAATAAAATCTGCTGAATACTAAACCAAGGAAATGGAAACGATTGCAAAATAAAAAGCATCGATCTTTGTAATATAATGATACATTCTGTCGTCTAATACGTGAAAAATTTTCTTTTCATAAACAAATTTTAATTCATAGATTCACATAACGAGAAAATATTTAACATCAAGTCACAAATCGTTGACAGACAGACTTGTTGGATTTTTTGATTATGATAATACTTTTAATGTACTGCTGATAAAAGTTAAAAAATACAGCTATTTTCTCTTTGACAAAAATTCGTAGATATTTCAAAGAAAAATTTTGATTTTAATATCAGTTTTTTCAAGTATCTCAAGTTTAGGACGTGAATTACAACCCATCGAATCTGAAATTTTAAGATCGAGACTCGGAGAGCATGGATCTGCTTAATGCTAAATCTCTACTTAGTCCCTTCCTTCATGCACACATGAAATGAAGAACTTACTAGAGTACTTTTCAGTAAGAAAAGAAACAAACAGTATTTGTAATACATCTAGAAATATCTTAATCTGATAACTATGACTAAAAAAAACTAATGAACAAAATACATTTCTCTGTTTTATATTATGTGTTTTTTTTTTGTAAAAGGAACTGAAAAGACAATAATAAACAACCCTCTCAACTGATAATGTTCTTTCCATTTAATATAGTAAGACAAAAGAAGCTGCAAATAGAATCTGCTCTAGTTCGAAGAAGTTCAGCGACAAGTAAAAACGAATACCGAAAGAAATAGAAGTTTATTCAACTTTTCGTTTAATACAATAAATTTAGAGTAAACGGATATCAAATTTCCAGCAAGTTATTTCTTTTTCTAACACTTTTTTTGCTATTTGATATATATTTCAAGGCGACTAAGAATATTCGTTATTTTGTTTTTGATGCCTCTTCGATATAGAAGATGGAAAAAACTTCACTTAGCGTGTCTTTTTGGATGTGAATGTGGGTGTAGGGATGTGAATTTATTCTTCTTCAGTTACCCACACCCAGCCACATCCACATCCACACTCGTCATCCGTATTTGACCATGAAAATTTCTTAGGGCTTGCACAGTAACAACAGAAAACAGACAAAGATGATATTGAACCACATGGTCTCGAAAATATGCATTCCATCACTTTTTCTCTGAACAATTTGGCAATATAAGAATAATTTAGCATCAATCAATAGAAAATTCAAGAAAAAGAGAGATAAGTCGAGAAAAAAAATTCTTCAAACAGAGATCAAACGGGATAAAGCATCGATCAGAGTTCATCGCGTTATTATACAAATCAGCATGATCTTTGAGAAGATCATAGGTACAATCTAAAATATTTTTAATCACAAGTAATTACAGGCGCATACTAAAAATTGTGCGAAATGATAGTAGTCAGTTGATGAAACGTATATAGTTCATTGTTTTGAATGTAATAATGAACAATTAAAAAATCCTTATAATACGTCGGCAAACTTTCATGTTGGTGTGGGTGTGGGCTGTGGGTGGGGGTGTGGGGTGTGGGTGTGGGTGGGTGTGGGTGTGGGTGTTGATGTGATGGGTGGGTGTGGATTTGCGTGCCTCCTTATATGAAGATAAGAAACCCACACCCACTCCCACAGCCACCGTCACACCACCCGTCACACCCACACCCACCCACACTCACATCCACACCCACACCCACCGCCACCGCCACACCCACCCCACCTACACCCACACCCAGACCTACACACACCCACATCCACACCCACACCCTTTCATTAGATTAGATAGAAACAATATCACAAGTTTAATAATTTAAACACTCCTCCAGAAATTATATTTCTTTCTATCCATCAGCAGAGCTATGTGTGTGGGTGGGTGGGTGTGGATGTGGGTAGGTGTGGGTGTGGGTGTGGGTGTGGGTGTGGCTAGGGTTTGGGTGGGTGTGGATGTGGGTGTGGATGTGGGTAGGTGTGGGTGTGGCTAGGGTGTGGGCGCGGGCGCTGGCGTGGTTGAAGATCGCAGACTTACACCCACACACAAACCCTCAAGATAGTTCACATTATTTAATCTATAACCGATAAATCTTCAAAATACTCTTTGAAATCGCACATTAACATCGTTTTTTCATGAAGTTGTTTACTAAATGAGTGTGAATGTGTGGTTGGATTTTCTGTGTGTGTCCACTACAGATAAGAATATTAATGTTCTAAAAAGCAGATGATTGAAACAACAAACTGTGGTTTATTCGAACGTCCCACTTGCTTGAGTCAAACTTTATAGCAGAGCATTGATGAAATCATGAACGAAAATCGCCGTGAATAATTATTTCAAAGAATATTCAGTTTATCTGAACATGTTTGGATGTGTAACAATACATGGGGAATGGAGAGGGTCAAACCTTCTATGTTTTGATATATACAATCATTTCCTCCAAGGTTTTATCTTCATGATGCGAATTGTTCTTTCTTACAAAAGACAATGTAGAACTTGAAAATTGTCCTCGACCGCTAAATCTGTTAGAGTAACAGTTCCAAGAAAACTTTAACTCTGTATGATTTCCTCTCGAAAGGTCTGTAGTTGTGAAGCCCATGCTCTTCGAAAATGAATTTAGGTAGAAATTATGCATATTGGTATGTTTCTAAATTAATATTATAGTTGTTTTCATAAAATCTATATCTGACAAATCTAAATATGATGAAAATATGAACATATCAGCTTCGGTTTGGACCAACTTGAAATAGTCGAAATCGATGAAGCTGGATTAGTCTCGGAATCAAAATCGATGTGTATTCGAACATAAAAAACGGGACCGAGTTAAAAGTCCAGATATCCTACTCGTTCTGTGGCATTGAAGTAAGAGTGGTTTAATGAATGTGTTTTTTGCTTCGTTATGTACTAGTTCCAAAAAACGACAAGAAAACTACTGTATTTAAATTCATAATGTTTTTTGTCCTCGACAATGCAATCGAATGATGAGATTTTTAGGTGCAATAGCCGTAAATTCTTGAATTTCTTTCATTGACTGAGATGTTTGTTCGCCACAGTCAACAATTGAATAAATTTTACAAATTCGAACGACTGCTATTTTAATTTCCATGAGTGCAAATCTCATTGCAACACAGTTTCGTGGTCCAACACCGAATGGAATCCATGCAAGTGGATGTCGTTTGGTAGCAAATCGTTCTGGGTAGAAAACATACGGGTCAACTGGACCCCAAAGCGTAGAATTATAATGTAAACTGTGAGTATTAGCACTGATAATAGTACCGATCGGAATAGTACCTATTTTGCCGATGTAAAATTCGTGAGTGCTCTGCCGATTAACAATACTTGGTGTGATGGGATACATCCGTAGTGTTTCCCGAATGAAACTATCCAAATAATCCATTTCTGCAATTGTTTCATAGCTCGTCGGTTCGTGTTTGATGCTTGAATCGAAATAAGCATCGATATGCTCTTGTAATTTTTGTTGCTCTTTTGGATGAGTCGCGAGAACATACGAAATATAGGCAAGTGCTGTACTTGTCGTTTCATAGCCAGCGGCCACTTAAAAATACAAATAATGAATAAAAAGGAAAGATAGTAAGTAATAAAAGAAACAGTGATTACTAAAGAGAACGATATTTGACGCAATTTCATGTTGTGTCAGCTTTCGAGTGACTGATGGTTCGCTGTCCATATGAGCAGTTGCAATGCCTTTTGTTGGTACGTCCTTTTACAAATAAAAATAGCATTACCGTGTAAATTTTCATTTTGTCATGAGTTTTGATGCAACAAAAATGAGAATGAAAAATGAAAGGCTTTAAAAGATCTCTAGGAACTTAACACAAGCACTCTTTGAAGATGAAATGTATGTAGACTTAATAAGAAATTGGAGAGTATGATCATGTACTTGCTCTGTTTTCTAGTGTATCATTTCTTCCATAAGGACAATGCTATTTCATAACATACGAATCTATCTACACAAGTAGACAATTCCTTTGTAGATCACTAAATTTTTACTTCAATGAAGTCATCGTCTGAAACTGATTTGAGCATCAAGTGCAATAGATCCATTTGGTTTTTGTTACCCGATTCTAGACGTTTTTTTATCAGTTTTCCTGCTTGTTTTTCGATCCACGTTGCTGGTTCATCGCTGATAAACTTTTGTGTCATTGGAAAATAATGACAAAGCCAATGTCGAATAGCACTATCACATCGAAATAGTTTATTCCAGAGCCATTTAAATTCAGGAACGAATATATTCAGGATCATTAGCTTAGTCACAGAATTCTCTTCATCGAACAATCGTTGTGAGTGTACAAGGTATGGATCATTGGGATTATTCTGCATATCACTATGAAGACCAAATATACATGACCAAATTATATCCATTGTGAAGCGTTTAAAAAGTGGCAAGATATCGAATGGTTGATCTTGTCTATATTGTTCAGACATTTTTACCATGAGAGCATTAGCACATTGATTCATCAATGGAGACATTTGCTTGAGCTTGAGGGATGAAAATGTCGGATTCATGACAAATCGTTGACGTTTCCAACGGCGACCTCTAGCAATAAATAAATGACAATTTTTTGCACGAGGCTCATCAAAAGGAAATTCACGACGCGAATGAAAATTGGAAAATGATTTGATGAACACGTCCTGCAGAATGTCAGGATCCGATATGACCAGAATAGGTGTGTGTCCTTCGAAATAGCCGAATATCTGTCCATACTTTTTGGACCATTCTTGAATGGCTAATGAAAGTCTATTGGTTTTCATAATATCTAAGAAGTTTCCCAAAAAGAATTGTGGTAGTGGGCCAGGTACACCAAGATGTATAAAGAAACTATATGTACGATGAACGTGCCAGCCATAAAAAAAAATTAAAGCCAGTAAAATAGCAACCAGTATACTTGCCAACATGATCGTATTTTACTTTTCTGTATGCTTATTTTTATGCTTTATATATCTAAAAAAGTAATATTGCAGAATGAGAACGAAAAAACGTGTACAATTACGCCGCGCAATTTTCTCGAGCTTCTGTTATCAAGGACAACATTATCAGTTATGTGGTGTGGGGCTTTGAAATTATAGCTAATAAAACCGATGCATTTGTGAATGCGCAGTTAATAACCGAAGACTTCGTAGCACGGAGCTTCTTAAGTATTTTCGATATGAAGACATAGGGCATGGTTGTTAGTCTTGGTGAAATAAAGAATAAGAGTCATATCCACATGTTCATCTAAATAAAACAGATACCCCTACTGTTTACGATCCTGTATAACAAGGATTGCATTTATACAAAAGTAGACAATAAAACTTCACATTCATACATCTTCAGGGTGTGGGTGAATGTGGGTGTGTGGTGTGGATGTCGGTGTCGGTGTGGGTGTGGGTGTCGATGTTGGTGTAGGGTTAAGAGGTGAGTGACAAGAAGATCTGGCGCACCCCACCCCACCACACCCACACCAACCCACACCCCACACCCACCCACACCCTCACACCCACACCCACCCACACCCACACCCACATACTCACACCCACACCCACACCCACACCCACACCCCACCCACACCGACACACCCACCCTCCCTCACACACACACACCCTAGTTCTGTTCTCTTCCTTTGTATTGTCTATCTATTTATTCTTTCTCTTGTCTTGTCATTTCATTTCATTTCTTTTTGACTGATGATGTTATGAGTGCATAACGAAACGTCTCAATAAAATGATAAAAACGGTATCGATTATTCTCCTCTTCATATAATTCAATGGTTATCTAAATGTCTTTATATATTTGTATCTATATGTTGATGTACAATTTTTGTATAGTGGTTATCTACAGTAGACTATTCTTTGTTTCTCATAGTCGCAACTAGTATAGATTTTACCGATTGAGATTCAAAACATTTTCTCTTGACTACTAACTCGTCATTATAATCTGAATTACAAAATTAGTATATAAATATACTTCAGACAGTATTTATTTAATTGAAATGAATAATCTTTGCATTGAAATAAATCAGAGAAAAAAGAAGAAAGAACACTGTTTCTTTTTGTTGAAATAATTAGAGAATCAAAGTGGATTTCCAAAGATAAACTAAATCTAATAAGACGTACCGAAATTTGCGTGAAAAAATTTTAATCTATAGATGAAATCAAAAATTCAACTTTTTTTTTTTGATGTACTATTCGTGTCTTTGTTGTTGAAAAAAACAGGCAAAAAAATCAACTAAAACGTGACTTTTTATTTATTTTTTGAAACCTTAGAAAAAGATGCATAAGTA